GAGAGGGCGGGGGCTGCGGCGAGGTGGAGAGTCGGGTGACGGGCGCGGCGCCCGCGTGCTCCCTGCCTCCCCAAGCGGGCGCGCGTCTGCCTGCGTGTCAGGGCGCGCGCTCCAGCCCTCGGGCTCAGTCCCAGTGCGCAAGCTGCCTGGATCCTCGCCGAATACCCGTTGTCGTTTCTGTAGTAAGCTCTGACCAGAGCGGGCGCCTCTCGGGGCGCCCACATCCACGGCTCCTTCGGCGACGCTCAGGGAAGAAGAGTTCTTGATCTGCTTTGAGGAGGATTTGCTAATTGTTTACCTCTCCTGGTAGTGGCGTCTCCATGCGGGTTTCAGGTTATCACTTGGTCCATAAGGAGCTGCAGAACTTAAGTACAAAGGCCCACCCTTGATAGAACGCCCCGTCTGACCCCAGGGGCCCTTTGTAGAGTGCTGGACACTTGGACCAGGGACTTATCGAAAAGATTCGCAAAAGGACGTTTTTTAAGGATTCGCACTATGAGATGGCTACTTTTCAAACTTGCTAGTTTCTTTTCCTCTTTTTGCTACTTTAAGGTTAGTGTTCCCCAGGTCCTCTTTTCTTCTTCCTTTTTAGAGTTCGCTGAGCTATCTCATCCAAGCCCATATATTTGACCCTACCGTGTCCCCCATATGCTGATGACCTCCAAGTCTGTGTCTCTTTGCCTCTCTTCCCTTGTGCTCCGGCCTGTGGACACATCCCGGTGGAGTTCCTGTGGCACCTCAAACTTAGCATAGCGTGGTGGATAGATACCAACTTGAGCTCTGGTGCAAAACAGATTTAGTAACTGTGGTCATGTCATTAATCCCTGAATCTCAGTGTTTGCTTTTAAATTGCAAAGTGAAGATCATAGTACAGCTTTACCTCATAAAATTGTTGCGAGGATTAAATAAAATAATAAAGTAAGATGCTGGACTCAGTGGTCAACTACGTGAAGGTAACCGTAATTAAGAGCGTCGTTCCCCATAGACTTGCTCTTCCTTGTGAGTGTCTTACCTCAGCGGGTGACCTTCACCCGCTCACCCGCTTACCTGCCAAATGACTGACGGGGCCACTTGGGGCCTTACTGATCAGGTGCTCGCTTGCTGCTTCCCGCCATTCCTCTCCACCCACCGTGGTTTGGCTGAGTCAGGTCAAGACACTCAAAGGCGTCAGGCGCTTGCTGTTTCCTTCAGCTCCTTTTCTAATTCCTGTGGTTCACAAGGAGGAGCGGCTCCTACTACCCCTCAATTAGGTGAAGTTTTACTTCCTCTCTAGAAGCTTCCAACACTACCTTCCTACCCAATTTGATAGGATTTGATAGGACCTACCACACCCAATTTGATGTTTCCTTTCTGTTCTAGCTCTACTTTCTACATAGCTGTTATCACATTTGTCCATTCTGTTGAAATTTTTTGTTTACATCACTATCTCCCTCTTTAGACGGAGTTTCTTCAAGGTGGGCCTATTAGTTATTTAATCTAAGAAACAGTAAGCACTCTTTAAATGTTTAATGAATAAATGATCACAATTTATAGGGGAAGATATGAGGCAGGAAAACCAGACAGGAGGCTAACAGAATTGTCTGGACAAGAATCTGTGAGGAGCTAAAGTAGGATAACAGTCCTGGAGTTAGTGTGGGGGGTGGGGGGGGATAGATTAGAAGGAGGCATCTATAGGCTTGGTGACTGATTGGGTGTTGGAAGAGAGGGAGAAGGAGGCAAAGATAACCCCTGGGTTTCTTATTTGAAGTACTGGATAGATAATGGGGCCACTGGCCAAGAAAACGAATACAGAAAGTTTGTGGGAAAGATGAAGGGTTCAGTCTTGGTGCGTGAGACTTGAAATGTCTATAAGATCCTCTTGTGGCATTCCAGCAGGTGGTTGGAAATACAGTTAAGGAGTGAAAATGGAGCATCTCTCCCAGAAATTTTGACATTTAACTGGTATATAGGCACCTGTTAAAGCCATGGTTATGGGTGAGTGAGTTGTGGTCGGTGTGCCAAATACTCCCTGTTCTCTTTCAGGTACATGGTAGGCTTGCATTTCCCGGCCTCCTTGTGGTTGGGATGAGCTACGTGACACATTCTGCCCATGGATTGTGAGCATAGCGTTTAATTGCTGATGCAAGACCTTCAGAACGCTTTTTCTCTTTGCTATGGCAATCAACAATGTTCCAGAGAGTATGTGCTCTGTCAGTCTTGGTCTTGGAGGAAAGATGATTCAGAATAGAGTCCCATCCACCTCATCATGGATATTTAAAGTGAGAAGTAAACCTTGGTTGTTTTAAGTAGCTGAGATTTGAGGGTTTGATTTGTTACCAGAGCAGATCTTTGTCACTTCTGACTGATGTGAATGAGAAGAGAAGAAGAATGAGAACTTGGGAACACCAGTCTGCTCGTTAGAGTATTTTGCACCCAAGAAAGAGAGACCCAGAGACCTCCTAATATAAAAGAGTGAAAGCAGGATTATTTATATGGCTGTATCAGTAGCTGTTAGGAACCAAGTCACCTCTAAAAAGAAGCTATTCATTTCTTTCTTTTCCATTGTATCTCTGTTCTCTCTACCTCTTTGTTGTGTTTTCATAATACTGACTGCTAATTAATCCTCTTCTTATCTTCTAATCCACATTTCAGAGGAGTACAATCCAGTTGCAAGAGCCTTTAGCTGTAAACCACTTTATGGGCTTCCAGCCAGCCTTTGGTTGAGCAATTCTTGTGTCAGGTGCCCATCGTGATCCCAACAGTGCCACCCCTATGCAAAACACCACCAGCTCTCTTGAGCACGAAGCTTTGGGAGGGGCAAAGCAAACTATACTGGGACATTTCCATTCTTGTCCCACTACAATTTATTTTTCACAGAATTGTGAAAGGTATATTTTAGTTATGTCTTAACCTACAAACACTCCAACCTCCAACCCCCAGCCTAAAATCTTTCCGTTGCCTTAGCAAAAACACCCAACTCATTGTCTGGCCTGCAAAGCCCTTTATGATCTAGCCTCTGCCTACCATTCCTACCTCATCTCCTGCCACCCTCCCTCCAGCCGCACTGGCCTCCTGTCTCTCCCTTGGATAAGCCAAACTGGTTTCCACCTCAGGATGTTTGCACTCTGCCCTAGCTGATCTCTCTTGTTTAAACACTCTTCCCCTAGTCCTTAGAACACCAGCCCTGGTGGCCTAGTGCTTAAGATTCGGTGCTCTCACCATCATGGGTTCATTTCCCTGTCAGGGAACCACACCACAGGTCTGTCGGTTGTGATGCTATGGCAGCTGCATGTTGCTATAATGCTGAAAGCTATGCCACTGGTATTTCAAATACCAGCAGGGTCACCCATGGTGGACAGGTTTCAGTGGAGCTTCCAGACTAGACAGACTAGGAAGAAGGACCTGGCCACTCACTTCTGAAAAAATTGGCCATGAAAACCCTATGAACAGCAGGGAGGGGAGCCTTATCTTACATAGCACTGGAAGGGGAGAGGATGGCGCAAAAAGACCAGGCAGGGTTCTGCTCTGCTGTACACAGGGTGGCCAGTAGTAGGAATCGACTCAACAGCACTAACAAAGCCCTTAGAAAGCTTTCTTATTATTTCTTTTTATTATTCACTTTAAGCTCTACTATGACGTCAGAGAGGACTGCTCTGATTGTGCTCATCTAAATGACTGCCCTTTCTGTGTTAGAGTCATGTGCTCCTTTTCTTTCTTGCAACCACCATCTGAAGTTGTCTTCTATGGTTACTGCTTTACTATGTGTCTTCTCTAGGGAGAATGAAAGCACCATGAAAATGGTCATCTTTTCTGTCTTGTGATCCCCTGTATTCCCTAGAATAGTCCCTGGCACACTAAGTATTTTTTAAGTGACTGAAGGAGATTGTAGGTAGTGTGCTCATGTGCTGCCTATTCTCTGCTGGTCCTCCCTCAGGGTTCATTCTCTAGTCTTCCCTGCCTTGCTGTGCATCTCAGGAGGTTGACCTCTAGAGTTTACATCACCCAGCCTCAATTGTGCTCTGGGTTTCCTGTTAGGTTTGACCAATGAGATGCACCAGAAGACTAGAGGATAGTAGGAGTGAGAGGTGGTCAGGGTATTTGTCTCTTCCCAACTCAGCTTCACTGTTTTTGTCAGTGACTGAATTCTTCCATGACCAAATTTCCTGTTGAGTGGCCCCTTCACCAAGTTTTTAGCTCTTTCCAGGCTCTGGTAATGGTTCCCTGATGTTTCATCATCCCTTGTGATACTCCCTTGACTAGGCTATC